AACAAAAGCGGGGGCAGTGACATATTTTAATGACTTTATGAACAAAGTCATTTGATTATAAGTTCAGCTACTTCATTTGCTCAACATCGTGTTTTTCCTTCCTCCTGAATGTTTGCAACAGGAGAGTGGGACTTGCCTGTCATGTCCCTTCTTGTCTTGCTCTTCAGGATCTCGATAAGTGCTGTCGTGTGACAAATGCTCAAAAAAAAAAAAATCCCACAAAACTGATTCATGGATGAAATGAAAAGACTGCTGGGCTGGGTGTCAGGAGCTATGAATTCTAGTCTCAGCACTGCTACTAGCCACTGGCTGACATTGGACCATTTATGTCATCTTCCTGAGCCCGGGTTTCTTCATCATTAAAATCATGTAACTTGGAGTAGATAAACTCTGCAGATCCCATTGGTTGTAAAGTTCCATGGCATTCTCTATTGGTCAAGCTCAAACAGTCACTCTGTGTTGGACACTCTCGGAACAAGTGGGAAATGGCAGCCACTTGTAGGCTGAGAGACACTGAACTCTTGACAAGGCCTGCCAGGTTCTTAATGATCCCATAGAACACACAAAAGTCAATTAAAAAATGCCCATGTTAAAAAAAAAATACAGATGGCCACATAATCATAGATCTGGAAAAGACCTCAGACATCCTTTGGCTCTATTCCTTCCTGCCACCTCAATGAAGGAATGACTTCTTCAGAACCCTTGAGATAAGCCCTTTGCTTGAATATATCCAGGGACTGAGAAATCACTATCTGGGGACATTCTACTGTGAGGGTAGAAAGTTTCTCTGGTTATTGGGTCAGAAATGATGACCTTGTAAACTGCAACTCCTTAGCCCTAGTGCTTTCCTCTAAGGGACGTGGAAGCCGTCCCCTCCCCACTTCCACATCCCCCAGAGCTATTTGATAATACTTCTCACGTCTTCCTCCAATCTCTCCTCCAGTTATTAAAACAAATACTATTTGCAGAGGGTAACTGGATGAGCCCAGGATTATGATTCAGGAAGACGGTATCTCAGCCCCCAGATCCACCATGAACTCATTGTGTGACCCAGAACAAGTAACTTCCATCTGGGCTGGCATTTTCTCCTTAAAATAGGGCGATGGAAGGGATGGGGGGGGGTAAATTTGTCTCCGAGCTTGGGAAACTCTAAATATGGTAGTCAGCGTGGGGCAGGGAACAGGTGTGACTGCTCTGATCTACCCTCGCCTTCACCATTGGAGCAGAGGATTCAGGGATTAGCCATCGGCTGAATTCTCCCCAGGCCCAGCTGCCAGCATGAGGCAATCACTATGAATATCCAGGAGAGGGGTGCACACTGAAGAAAATTTCTGCTAACACAGCAAAACACTTTCAGGACTCCAAGCCCTAGGAGAGCAAGACATCTTGAGACAAGAGACTACTGCATGTGTTTTGCAAGGTGCAGAGTATAATGAGCAATCCTCTCCTGAAGAATTAATCCCCAGTGTCGCAATCATGGAAACATGATTGGGGGAAGGACTGGGGAAAATACCTTGCAAGAGAATGTTGGCAAGGGCCATGCCTCGTGCACAGTAAGCTAGTCAAACTTTTATAATCCAGAGGGGTTACTGACAAGTGCAGAGGTGGTATTTCCTCTGGGGTGACGTAGCTTAGGTTGAAATGGAGCCAAGGGACCTGGTCTGCCCTGTTGAACGGAACCAGATATTTTCAGGATGTGAAAGTCCTACTGTACCCTAGTCAAAACACTTAGGAATTTTTGTAGCTGAAGCAACAACGCCTTTCTGCCAAATAGTTCTAAACTGTGCTAGGGTCAAAATGCAAGCAACCCCATGCATTTTGATCATGGTTCCTGCATTTTCTGAAGGTACACTGGCTTTTCAAAGCACCTCTGGCTTATCTGCAGGTTCTAATATTTTCAAGGGTGTTGAGGGCCAAACTCAAGTCCAGCAGATGATAACCTCTCTGCACGTGTGGCTTAAATAATGGATTCTACTATAGGAAATGGTATCTTGGTATCTTTATTTTATCCCCTTTTATTAATGGAAAACTCTGTGAGTAGCTCTTTAAAAAACCACTTAGTGTAAACACAAATCATTTTGTTAATGATCATCCTTCATCAGATGGCACCCATTTTCCGAACGAGAAAATATCCATGTGCCTAAAGTTAGCTAATTAGTTAGCTAATGTTACCAACATAAATGAAAGGGTCTGCAGACCATGGAGGTGCTGAGTGGTTAGAGTGAACCCATCTGAGACTAAAATAATTTCTCTTTGAATCCCCAGGGCGAGTAGGCACTCAGTAAATGTGGAATTGATTTGAATTCAGCCTTTTGAGAGACATTGGACCAGCAGAGCATTTCCCCCCTAAATTAACTATTTTCTGAAGCACGTAGGCATGCTCCTTCTTCCCTTGCAAATCTTTGGCAGCATCTCATTTACTCCTTTTAGGAGACCAGCGCGTTCTTAAGCATCCTCTCAGCTCATTTTTAAAACTAGTGCACTAATTTTGGCTTTGGAGAGAATGCCTAGGAAACAGAAGTTTTGACTTGAGTCCTACTGGAAATGCTCGGCTGGCCCTTTCTGAACGGTACAAGACATAAGGACTTAACAAATTTAGCTGGGACAACTTCAGCACAATACACCTTTCAATAAACAAGCTTATGACCGGAGCAAAATAAACACGTGGCAGGGAGTTTCCGCAGGTTGTCGAGTCTTTTAGAATAGCGGGAAACTTCTATTTCTTGGATGAACTTCCAAATCCGACAAACGCCCTAAGGCGCAGTGGGCACGCCTGAAGACCCTTGGTTACAAGAGTTCCTTTTGGTGGAGAAGGTGAGGGGGGTCACTCTGGCCTCTTGCATGCTCATTCTGTCCCGCTCCCCACGATGTTTGGCACACATGCAAATGCAGACAGAGCGTTTTACTTTTTCTATGGGGTCGTGAGTTCTGATCCTAGAGGCACACTGGAGTTGATAAAATTATCCCGATCTGCCAGCAAACATTTTTCGCGGAGTGGGTTGAAGGAGCATTGTCTTATCAAGCTGGTTTTATAGTTACTGAGAAACCTTTCCTTTCTGCTTTAAGTAAAGGGTAATTCCTCCGTCTCAGATGCCCTTTCCCCGAGGCCATCTGTTATCCGCCCACCTTCTTTCAGGAGGCGCTCCGGCTTCACTTCCTTTATGAAGACTCTTATGATAAATCAGGTGAGGTCACCACACCCTTCTCTCTGCTCCCATGGAGCCCTGTGCTCACTGTGCTGAGAAGGCTCTAGAGCCCTAATCTCCTAACTGAGAAACCAGAAATCAATTTTTACTTTTTATGTAACTCAACAAATATTGATCAAGTACTGCTACACCAATCATTCTGCTCAGAAGCCCCGGCACACACCTTTGTACCTGTGAGAGTGATTTTGGTGCCAAGTTCGCTTTTAGACCCTGTCGTGAAGGTCTCCCGCAATAGGCTGCATTGATAATAGGGGCCAACGTGCAGCAGGTCACTGCCCATATCATACCGACATGCTCTTTGACTGCACAGAATGCTCAGAGCGAACATGTTTCATCCCCATGAGCCCATTTGATCCTGGGAAACAAATTGGTGGACTCCTACTTTATAGACAAGTCAACTGAGGCTAAGAGCAGAGATGCCCCTCCTAGCCTTGGCATATTAGTGCAGGAAAATCATACAGATTAGAGAGTATGAAGTCACGAAAGGGCAGGAGGGACCTTCTTAATGTTCAGCTTCTCCTCCATGGGAGAAGCCTTGGCTGGGCTGATTAGCTCATCCCTTATTGAAATCCCTTGAGTATTTTAAAAGAAAAATTCCCTGATAACACTCTGCACATAAAATTGTGAGTCACACCTCAAAGCTGATCTAAGTTAACGTCTCTAGATTTGGTGATTGACTGTCAGTCCCCCCCCGCACAACCCCCCCACCCCCAAGAGTAAGTCTGCTGTCTCTTGGCGTTGATCAGGTTTGCTGTAGAGCTGGTCTAGTTGGTTAGAAATCTGTCTTCGAGTTTCTTGAGTGACCTAATCAGCTGGATATCTTACAGTGTCCGGAGAGCTTCAGAAATCTTACATACTAGTGTCAGATGAGATATTTTTTAAGGACTTGGAGTTAGTCCAAGCATGTTGGAATACGTTGAGTGATATTTGACCAGGAGCCACGGAGTGGAATTCATTTAAGTTTTGAATAGAGTCTGTCTTATTCTTCATATCTTCTTATCTTCTGGATTAAGGTAGTACCCAGAACGTAAAAGGTGCTCAAGTAAACTGTGCTGAGTAAATGCTATTGTTGTATTTTTGATATGCATGTGGAACTCACACTTGCTGGTTTTCATGCCTGTGCACAGAATAAAAAAGAGGGGTTGCTTTTTTCATTTGCCATAGATGGCATGAAAACCAATTTTTCTTTTTCTTTCTTTCTTTCTTTGTCTTTCTTTCTTTCTTTCTTTCTTTCTTTCTTTCGTTCTTTCTTCTTTCTTCTTTCTAATGTTCATGAGAAATACCAGTCCTCTTTTCATTTTTTTTTTTTTAAGACAAGGCATTAAAGTATATGTTTGGAGACACTGATGAAGGATTTTGCTCTAGGGTTTATACTGTTTTCTAGGGCTTTGGATTTTGTTCAAGGGCCCCTGAACTGAAGCACATGTTTCATGATCAAATCCCACAATAATTGGGCCCACTGGTGACTGATGTGTGGTACGAAGGGGTGGAAATGTTCCGAGTAGACCTCCATTCATTTGGTGATCAGTGTGTCAGTGTTTAGAAACCCACCCCTTTTCCAAGCAACCACGGTCATGTGTCTGCTCTGTTCTGCCTTTTTCCGGTTAAGATTCTCATCCATAAGGCATATAAAGTATGAAATTTCAGGCTTCCAATTTCATAGCTAAGCTGCCGTTTCTGTGGAATGCTCCAAAACAAAAACAAAAACAAAAACCTTATTATAATTACGTATGAGTGAAGAAAATTAGGAACTAGGAGGCGGAGGACCTTCACACGAGGATGCCTGCCTTGCCCCTACAGCAAGAAGGCTCCAAAGAAAGTTTTATCTTCTTTTGTGTAATCCACCAAAGAGATGTCACTGACGTTCACCATCAGCTTGTCCCCTTCCTGCAAGGAGAACATGGCCCCTAGGTAGATGGGTTGGAACCAGTTGCTCCCTACTTCACACACGGACTTGGTCCCCATTAGGAGCTGGGTCGGCTCGGGGTAGCTGTCTGTTACCTTAGTGATGACCACGATGATGGAGTCTGGCTTGTTCAGTCGGCTCGCTTGGTGGATTTCACCACACTCAGATGTGGTTCCTCGGAACGTGACCTGGGAGTAAACAAAGTAGTCTCCCGACTCTGGGATCACCAGGAATTTATTTGTGTAGTTCATCCGGTTCTTGGTAAAGGCCAAGCCAAGTTCATGTTCCCAATGCAGAGCCGGAAACTGATTTTTCAAGGGCTGTGTGGGACTTTGTCTGACAACTGCAAAGACAAGAGAGAGGTTTAATTTCCTTGTGTCAGAACCTGTGGACTTTGCCAAAAAGAGTCTCATATTATTTTCAGAGTAAAGTGATTGAATAAAAGCAACAGCTGACAAGCTCCTTGAGGAGGAATGAGTGGAGGAGGTGTAAGCAGACACACACTTTTGTTCGGAGAATAGCATTTTAGGGGCAAAAGACTTCGCCTCTCTGAGCCCGAGTGTTCTGATCATTTAGAATTTTACCTGAGCTCTGTGATCTTGGAAAACAGTGGACGTTAAGAAATCTCACTCTTTGTTTTTCGGAAAACAGCCCATTGCGATCAACCTCTTCTCCAAATGACTTAGACCAAACTGGTGGGTGCCCTCCCCCCTTGGATACCTATGGCAAGACCAGACACCAGATCCTCCAGATCGCCATTCTCTGCCTCATAAATGATCAGCTGAACTGTACTGTCCCCACTGATCCATGGGAACATAATGCTTGTTTTTTCTTTTTTAAAGATTTTATTTATTTATTTGAGAGAGAGAGCATGAGTGAGAGCAGAAGCAGGGGGAACGGCAGAGGAAGAGGGAGAAGCAGACTCCCTTCTGAGCCAGGAGCCCAATGCGGGGCTTGATCTCAGGACCTGAGCCTAAGGGCAGCCGCTTAACCGACTGAGCCACCCAGGTGCCCCAACATACTGCTTGTTAACCCAATTTTGGTTAAGCTTCTCTTCTGCCTCCAGGCTTTGGTCTACCCTCAGCCTGGACCAGCAGACAGTCTCTCCTGAGAACAGGCTGGCCTTCGGGTAAAACATTCTCTGACGCTAACACCTTTATCCCACTTCTTCCCACCTGGTTCTTTCTAGCTTTGTTTACTCCTTTCTGCAAAAGGAAACCCCTTTTTGCTTAACCCTTGAGACACTTGCAGACCTTCTGGCCGGAGCATTCTCCCTATTGCTGCTGATTTTCTTTCTCCTTTCTCCCACTGTGCAATAATCCTTTTGCACAAGCTCTGTCTTTACTAAGTCAGGATTTGTTTTTCATTTGACATATCTTTCCTTTTTTTTTTTTTTTTAAGCGTATAAAAATACCCATGGAAAGGATTAAAAGGGATGGTGTGGGGGCGCCTGGGTGGCTCAGTCGGTTAAACGTCTGCCTTCGGCTCAGGTCATGATCCTGAAGTCCTGGGATCGAGCCCCACATTGGGCTTGGTGGGGAGCCTGCTTCTCCCTCTCCCTCTGCCCTTCCTCCCTGCTTGTGTTCTCTCTCTCTCTCTCTCCTTCTCTCTCTCAAATAAATAAAATCTTTAAAAAAAAAAAAAGGATGGTGTGTATAAAATCCCCAGCTATTAGGAATACCCTCTAAACTGCATTCACTTTCATTAGCCTTTTGTTTCAGACATACCCTGCTACAAAGAGTGGACATTTTAGGGAGTTGGACGTTCCCTATAGCTCCCCTGCAATGCTACGGCCCAAAGTTACTGAAATTCAGACAGTGATTAAAAAAAAAATCAACATGCAGGACAGATATTGGAACCAGAGATCCAGAACATTCTGGAAATGCTTCTCTGACACCAAAATACAAGCTGATGTAATTGGCTTGTGGAGTGTAAGGGACCAGGGCTCTGGGTCACTTCAGCTCTATGGCCATGTAACGTTTTTAATCAGTGCTGTAGGTCCCTTCTCTCTGAGTCTTGATTTCCTGTACCTGAGCTAGAGATAAAGCCCCTTCCCCGTCTCATTTGGAAGATCAAGTGAAGAGAGGAGACATGGACATTTTTATCATGAGGCTGGCTATGGCAAGTACTCAATACATAATCACTTTCCCCAAATAAACCAGCATCTCTCATCTTGACAGGTTAAAAAATAAGCCTATTTCACTGTATATATTTTTATATGTTCTTATGTTTGCATTGTTTACAAATATACATTATATACCTGGACATATAAATGAGTGCTTTTATGAAGTATGTGTATTGCAGAAAAAATGAATAGAACCAAACCATTGATTTCAAATAAGATAATCTGCAGTAAAACTAGTATGTTTTAGGAAAATAAAAGCATATTTTAATTTCCTACGGCTGCTTTGGGAATCCATAGTGATCCCCGATATGTGCTATCAGCCACCGTTTGGGGATAGGTTATCTTTAAGGAAATATTTAGCAACTTTCACACCCGGTGGCTGCCTAGAAATCTGGTTCCTGGATTTTCTTAAGCATCTTTGCCAATGCTGACTGGACCCTGGATTATTTTGCACAATGACACGTGTTTAGAATGCATGTGGTCTCTCTGGCCCCCCACCCTGCACTCAGTGCGCCCTGGAGAGCTTTGTTGCTTCTTTGTAAAATCTGTGAAAGGCATTTTTATTAATCACTCCTGATCATCTCCACTCCTTCTTTGTGGATGGTGCAGTAGATTAAAAAAATCCTCTGGGATGATGCAAAAACAAAAAAATCATTTAGTCTCTAGACAAAGCGAGTTTTGTTGAACTGGTATGCAATTCGCTATGTTAACACGGCAGCAAGTGGGAGTTAGGGTATGAAGTAGGTTATAATGGGAACAGTGCAGGTCTAAGAGTCAGACTCAAATCTCAGCTCTTCTGAGTCATGTATATGATTTGGGACAAGTGACTTGACTTGTCAGAGCCTCAGCTTCCCCCCTTGTTGGGCTGATATGCAGATCAAATGAGATCATGGTTGCAAAATGCCTACCACAGTGCTGGTACACGTGAGGAGCTCAGTGGAACCTAGATTCCCACCCCCAGCTCCCCCCTTCAGTAGGAAGAAGGGTGATATCCCCACACTCTGTTGTTAGGATTTTTCCTGCCCAGCTTGTTCAATCTCTCCCATTCTCAAAGGCAAGTGGTAAGTGACTAGTGACTTGGTGTCTGTCTGGTCCTAGTCCTCATTCAGGACTCACCCCAAACACTTTCCTCTTGGTCACATGTAAGTCACATGTTTGGGCCCTGGGGATATCCCCCTGTGGGCTGCAAATTTTCTTATAGGTCAGGAGAGTATGCTTGCTTTTAACTCCTTAGGGTTTCAATGGGTTTTTAACACATATTTGTGCACAGTCTTGCTCTTTTCTCTGGAGTCTTAGATGTATATGCAACTCCAGGCATCAGATGTCAGAGATTTCAACAGTGGGCTTGGGAAACTGGCCAGCTGGTGATATTATGAGGCCGCTCTGAATCTCTTCACATCAACAAAAATTCTTTGCAAATGTCTACCTGAATGCAAATGTCCAATCACTTCATCTTGAATGGGGTACAGATGGACTTGATACTTTTAGCAGCCCAGGGGATCTTTCATCTTTGACCAGATTCAGAATTATGTGAATCTCTGAGTCTGGGTGAAGCCGTTTCTGAATGCCTGAGGGTGTGTGTGAAAGAGAGAGACAGGAGAGGAAGGAAGAGGGCTGATAGAACCTGAAAGAAAATGCCCAAGAGCCATGGGCCTTTGGAACCCTTAAGGGAGGACGACATCTGAAAACCCTCAATTGAGAGAAGTCTGTTACCAAGGTGTGTGGTTTCTGGTTTGAAGCTACTAGAATAAGTTTTGACAAACCCTCTGGAAGAAATCTTGGGCCCATGGCCCATACATGATCCCCTGGAAAACACACCAGGGAGAAATACCTGTCAGGTGTGCCCTTGGCTTATCCCCACCAGCTCCGGAAATTGCATCTGTAAGGAAAGGAGAGAGATGCTTTGTGTGAGTCAGAGGGTGGCTGGAGTGAAGACAGTATTTTTGGAGTTGCATGGTGCCTACAACTGGAGAGAAACATTCCTCTCCTTCAGCTTGGTCCACTGTGGATTGTTGTCATTTTCCCAGGGACAGAGAAGCCTCAGGAGAAAGAGTCTTGAACACAAATGAATCTTGGCCCGTAACTTTGGGCAAGTTTCCAACCTGCCCAAGACTCTGTTTTCTCGTCTCGAAGGTGGGCACATCCCTTGCTAGCATGAACGGAGAGTGCTCAGCATGATTCCTGGCACATGGCCGATGCTCAATGAACTCACATTGCCCTTCCCTCCCTGCTACTGCTTCAGGGGGAGCAGATGACCTTTGGCCTTATTCAAGGTCCCTTTAGCCATATCCACTGAAGCGTCTGGATGGTCTAACAAATAGGGTAGGGAGGGGTAGGATTAGGCATTGTTCTAATACTTTTATAGGAATTAACTGATTTAATCCACACTAATCCGAGAAGGTAGGTACCATTATAGCCAATTTACAGGTGAGTAAACTGAGACAGAGGCAAGTGACATTACTTGCCAAAGGCCATCACCACCATAGGCCATACACTTGGATGCAGCACCATTTTGTCTTTTTAGTGACTTGGGAGCAACCTCACTTCTCCTCTGGGGGTTTTCATCCCTCTGCACCTCCCTCATACCCAAACTACTGAATGCTCTGTTCCCCACAAGAGAAGGCAACAAATACGAACACACTTACAAGCTCGCTGATGTGAGGGTCCAAACTCTTGCCCTTTTGAAGTCTATTGGAAAAGAAAGATATGATTCAGCCCACCTGTGGTCCTTTTGTCACCCAACCCCACAGCTGCCCATAGCAAGGGCATGATTAAGATGCCTCTGCTACCCAACCTGGGCATTCTGAGATGAGGGACATGGCCATGAGACTACTCGATGGAGGGGAGTCTTGTGCCGAAGCGCTCCCCTTTCCTCCTCCAGCACCCCTTCTCTCTCCTATACTCATCTTGGAAGCTCAACTTCGAAGTTCTGTCCTGAGAGCCTTCCCTGTTCTGTGCTAGGACACTCTGACATCTATTATTTGAACAAATGATGGCACTTGCTTTATTTTCAGGAGGCTCTGTTCTCCTTCCCACCAGCCCCTTGTCTCCATGAATGACACGGGGACATGTCCATCCTTGCGATCCTATAGCTTGCGAGCCATTTCAGATACCACATGGGGCAGGCAGGGCCGGGGAAGGGTAACTGCTTTGGAGGCAGACAGACCCGAATTTGAATCCTGCTGTCACCATTTATTAACAATATGATCTCGAGCAGACACCTTTCCTCTCTGAGCTCTGGTGCCCTCATTTGAAAAATGGGAACAATAACATCCCTAACCTCAGATAACTCCCCCGTTTGAGATAAGGATCAAATCAGATGTGTGAGTCAGGACAAAGAATGTGCAGGAAATGAAGGAATCGCCATGTCTGAACACAAAGCTCAGGAGCAAAGCTAAGTCCTTGGCTTAAAGGGATAAAATCACCACCTTACATTTTACGGTTTCGAGGAAAACCTTCTCTGATATGATACTGACTCAATTCAGAGTCTTCTGATTGGGTTCTGGTAACTACATAGTCCCCACGGACAGTGATCCTCATGTCACCAGTTCTATATCTTAGAATCCGTGTGTGTGTGAGATCGTACTTGGGAATGAGGAATTGTGTGTCCATGTGGTGTGACAGAAGACAGCTCTAGCAGTGGGGGACGTAGGAGCCGATGGGTTTTGTGTGTCTCCATGTGACTCTAGTGTGGTGCTGTGTGCATGGATGTCTCTACACGTGTTTGTGTGGTCATGTGCATGTAGCTGTGTCATTGCTCTGCAGGACTGTGAGCAGGTCTGTGATGGCAGTGACCTCGTTAAAGCCCAGACTGCCAGGCTCTTTTTATTCCCAAGCCATGCTACCTAACCTCCACTGGAAGGCTTCTTGAGGGCAGAGATCTTGTCTTTGAACGACAGACCCATTGTCTCTCCATTGTCTACTTCCTAATTCTGTGAATAGCAAGACAACTGCTTGCCTTCAGTTGCCAGGCTTGAAACTTGCTGCTTTCTCCTCCCACAAGCCCAAGGTGCCATTTCTATTTTGCAATTTTTCTCATTCGTGCCTCCCCACCCCCCACCCAGGCCTCAGCACACTGTTCTTCTGGATTCTCCCATCAGCCTCTTAACTGATCCTTTTGCATCTGGTTCTCCTTTTCTTGAAATCATCTCCGCACCTGCTCTCAGAGTGCTTTTTCTAAAGCATCACTGTATGGGGACACAATTCTGTCCATAAACCTTCAGTGGCTCTCCATGGCCTTCCAGACACAGGCCCGAATACTTATCTTGGCATTCAAGGTCCCGGTTGACCACCCCATTCTTGTAACCCACTATTTATTCCTCTCCGAGTACTCTGTGCTCCAGCCATGAGAGGCAACCACAGTGAATGATTCAAAGGACCTGAAAGATGCAGTAAGTGTAGCTACTTTCTGTTGAATGAGGAGTGGCGCTGTGCCATGCTACGCCCTTTGCACGCATCATCTCCTTCAGCGTTGCGACGATTCTTCAGGTAGACGCCATTCATACCCTTATATTGAAAAGGGGGCTCAGTCAGGTTAAGTAACTTGCCCAATGTCCCACAGCTGGAAAGTGGAGAAGTAGGATTTTAACCCAGGCCAATCCACTCTAGAATACCTGGCCCTACGCCATTGCACCTTCTCACTTCCGGATAAGCTCCCCCTTTGGTGAGGTGGATGGATGAGTACCAGCAGCTCCATGCACTGTGACAGTAGGGGAAACACAGAGCTCAGAAAACAGGAACCCAGCCCAGAAGAGGGGGAATCAGGGGAAATTACTTCTGAAGTTGAGTCTTACAGGACCCACAGGAATTAGCCAGGTGATAAAAGGTAATGACCATTCCAGACAAGGCTAAGAGCTTGTGCAAGAGTACAGAGGCCCAACAAGGCATGGGAGCAGCTGGGAAACTACAAGGATTTCTGCTGCCAAATGAACCCATTCAGCATAGGGTTGTGAGTACAGTTGCTTTGGAAAACCTAAATCCAATTGATGCAACTACTTGTCCAGCATCAATAAGTTTGATGGGCTTTAGGAGTGGGGTGGGGTGGAGAAGCAGCCTAGAAATGAGCTTATTCTGTAGCCTGTTTCCTATGCTTTTCCTTATTTGCTGTTATCAGAGCTGATAAAGAATTGGTCTGTGGCAGGCAGAAAACTGAAGGGGAAGAATTGGGAGAGCATGGTTGCATCCTCTTGTGTATGAAATGGTACAGTCCTGGCTGATCTTCTGCTTCATTTAGTACTCTGCTGAGAAATCTTCTCGAACATCTGCTTACTTTTGTCTAAGCAGACACTCAGCTAAAAGACTGGAGCATTCCCTTTGGCTCAGAGTCTCGCTGTCATTAGCATGTATCTGCGATGTGAACACATTTCCCTCTTTGCTCTACTGGATTTCTATAACTTGGGCATACAGTTATTTTCATGTGTGGTTGGACGTGTATGGATCTTAGTGGCCTAGAATCTGCTATACATCTGGAGCCTGTCATAGTACCAGTTAGCAGGTGTTGAAGACCTCAACAGTCCAAGAGTCCCCAAGAACATCAGCTCTTTCCAAGAACAACATCTAAAGCCTTCCACTGCTGCTTCCCTTAATAATGCCGCTTCGTGGGAGGAAGATTTTTGTGACAGGAAGCAGGAATGAATGAAGAGGATATTTGAGACAAAGAAATAGTAGCTTATTTGGAGGAAGGTTTATGCATTTGAGCTGGCTCGATGCCTGCTCTCAAGGTGACTGTTTGCAAGAGCTTTTCGCTCTCAAGTACAATCCAAGCTGCCTGTGGGCAATGACCTGATCTGTCTCTTGCTCACCACCAGATTTCTGGTGCCTCAGACCATGCCTGGCACTTCTGCCGGATTACCCAATCAGCACTCAGTGACTTTTGCCTGAGTTTGGCAATCCAAAAAACGAAGAAAAAAAGACCTTTTGATTTTACAATACATGCCAAGTTTTGAGTTCTTGTTTAAATTTTAAATAATTAATTTAACAGTTAAATGGCCATAATCTTTTAGTTACTGGCACCTCCAAGTTTTTTATCAGGCTTTGCTTGGAGCACAGTCATGGCTCCAGAAATGTTTGTGGAAGATTGTGAGCTTTGGCCAGGAATCAGAGACAGAAAAGGCAAATGTAGATGCCTGTGGGGATTCATGTTAGTAGAATAGTGGGGCGCCTGTGGCTACCAGCATTGACGAGCCCAAGCAAAGCAAGCTGGTGCTTTTTACGCCTTAGTTTCTATAGGTCAGGGGATTTTTCACTCTTGTTTGAGTTTCTTTCTTTTTTCTTTCTCACTTTTTTCTCTTTTTTTTTTGTATGCTGATTGGTAATCCCTGACACATTTTTGGAATTACTCTAATACTTCAACCAGGGAAGGAAGAAGGAGGGAGGGAGGGAGACTGCTATCTAGTCGACTACTCCCCGGGTGCCAGGTCCTGTACTGGGGTTTATGTGTGCTCCTTGCCTACCACTCCAGTTACTCTCCAAGAAGTAGTATCACCTTTTTAGAGGCTTTGTAGGCCAAAGGTCAAAGAGTAAATGGAGGGTCTGGGATCTGAACCTTCAGACCAAGTGCAGACCTGGGCGCGTATCAGGAGCCCCATAAACATTAGCTGAGTACACACCATGGACCATGGAACCCGAAGCCAGATGATCTTTGAGATTCTCTTATTGGCATTTCCCCAGAAAAAATCCCTTGAGTGTATTTTAGCTAATGACCCATTTAGCCTTTCTCCCATGTCATATACCCACTGTCTAGTATATTCATAAACAGGAAGAGAGATCCATTTCTTGCCGTCATAAATGCCGCAATTGCAAAAACATCAATGTTTTATGACCCATAACATCTTCCCAGCACTTCTAGGAGAAATACACAGACCATTGCCTCCTTGTTTTTGGCTTTCGCTTTTCTCTGTTTGTACTTGCACAAGGATAAATCCAGCCTGGAAATGTTTTATTCCAAGGCCATTTCAATTCATTACCCTCCTGGGTACACTGGACGGGGCTTCAAACCCAACATTCAGAGGGGTGCAGAGCTGAGCATGTGGTGTTGGCAGCCAAGCAAATGTGGGAATCCCAGCCCTAGGGTTTCCTAGCAATCTGACTTTGGTATGTCACCTAACCTCAGTGAGATTCTGTCTCCTCATCATTGAAGGCAGGCAATCATGCTTTCCTCCCGGAAGCATCGTGATGCCTAAGGAAGACCACACACATACAGTGGATATCCAATTCACCTTCCTTCTTTCTTTGGGTTCAGTCAATATTTATGGTGCATGGTGTTGGTTCTGCGTAAGTTCCCTTTGGTTTCACCGCTTCGGTGATACACAGAAGCCATCCTTGGGTCTCTTTATGACCAGCGGCAGATTTGGATCATTTAGGAGCTCTGGACGACCTCCTCCTTCTCCCAGCAGAAGAGGCTTCCTCCGTCTACAGCTGGCTTCTGGACTTCTGCCCCTTCCAGTGCAAAGGGCTTGAGGGAATGGAATATATCCTCCATGCATTTCAAAACCCACCCTTGTTACTGCAGTCGGTGGCTGGGCCTCATTAAGGAGACCAGGCTGGGAGATGACTTCTTACAGCCGGACAGCGTGTGGTCCATCAGGTGAGGAGCCGGGAGCTCCCGGGGCTGGGCATGGAGTAATGTGTGTGTTTATTTATTTATATATATATATTTTTTAGAGAGGGAGAGAGTAGGGGAGGGGCAG